CTACAGGATACCCTCTTCTGCTCACTATCATTCCCAAAGTGACACCCAGAAAGTGAAAATCCTAGAAGCTGTCTGCTTCTTTCATCAGTTAACCATTTCTCACACAAATACAAAGTAATAATCACGGCTGTTTTTTCAAAAGTGTGTATGGTAGTCAGCACAAGAGGACAGATATCCTGTAGACCATCTTTACTGCTATCATTGCAGTTGCCAACATTCAGGCTGCCCTTTGCTATGTAAAGCTTAGCATAATTTTTCTTGCTGGCAATGCAGGCATGATATTGGGTCATTTTCTGGTGTTTTGAATCATGAATACACAAGCACAATATACAAGATTCATAAATCGGAGGTTTTTTTTTTTAAAGAATTGAATCTTCTGGCTTTTTAAAATGGAAGTTTAAATATACATACACTACACACAAATTCCAGAAGAAACATTCCTCATGTGGAATTTCCCAGTGCTAGAGGATCCCAGAATATGAGCACATGATTAATGGTGTGGGGGGCACTAATATATTGTGCTGACAGCAGGATTCAGCCTTCCATAAGCCAACTCTAAAAATAGGAGTGCCCCAAACAAAAAATTATGACTATGAAACTGGACCTTGAATCAGTACCAAATTTAACATGGATGCAGCAGAAAATCTGCTTTTGCTCTGTGACAAATTTGAGGATGTTTGGGCAAAGGGTTTTCAAGTTAGATTTTTTTAAAAGAGTAGCACTGTTTTGACCCTATGTAGAAGCAAGCAATTGTGAGCTATGGATGATTTAAAACAGATCAAATATTTTGAAAACACCAGATTAGCATACCTTGAAAGAAAATGGTCAGTTCCAGTCCTGTTTTTTATTTCAAGGAATTCATCTATTCATAGCTCTAATACACACTTTGAAAGTAGAGATTTTAAAGCAACAAAAATGAATTTGTGGGCACTCTTCTAAATTGCTAGCATTCTAAATGAACTTAACTTTTGACCCTACCACTCAGAATCCTTTTCATTAATTGTAAAAGAAAACATTTAACTGCTTCCTGGCCAAACATTTAACTCCTTCCTGTGAAACTATTTTAAAAGATATTTTTGAAAATAGAGAATAATATTCAGCAGCTCACTCAAACTGTGAAATTACTGCCTTTTTCACTTTGTGGCTAGGGATTATCTCAAAGCAAGTTTTACCCAGTTTACTCACAAGTTAATTTACCCAGTTTACTCAACAATAAGTTTAGCTGGTTTGTTCATGAGTACGTGCACCCAGTTTACTTAGGAGTAATGAGACAGCAGCGTTGTCGTTGTCATTTAGTTGTTTAGTTGTGTCCGACTCTTCGTGACCCCATGGACCAGAGCACGCCAGGCCCTCCTGTCTTCCACTGCCTCCTGAAGTTGTGTCGAATTCATGTTGGTTGCTTCGATGACACTGTCCAACCATCTCATCCTCTGTCGTCCCCTTCTCCTCTTGACCTCACGCCTTCCTAACCTCAAGGTCTTTTCCAGGGAGTCTTCTCTTCTCATGAGATGGCCAAAATATTGAAGCCTCAGCTTCAGGATCTGTCCTTCCAGTGAGCACTCAGGGTTGACTTCCTTTAGAATTGATAGGTTTGTTCTCTTTGCAGTCCAGGAGACTCTCAAAATCCTCCTCCAGCACCACAATGAGACAGCAGCACCAGCAGCCAAATAGAGCTACAATGTGAGGAGAGAACATTTGGGTGAAGGTTAGGGAGACAGGAGTGAGGTAACTCCCTCTTTTCCTCTGCTTTTCTCCTCAGCTAGGGCTCTGTTGAGGTGGGGGGTGCTGTCTCATGTGAGCAGAACCCATGGTGTCAACATAGTCCTTTTTCTCTCAGACCTCCGGGAGCTTGAATGACTATATGCCAGGATAGACAGACTCTGTATGAGTTACTGACTTCCAGAGTATCCTGTCATTAAGAACTCTGCTCAGATCTTTCAAAACAATGGCATCTCATGCTAGGTTGTTCTCTCTTCTTGCTGCTCCCTTTCCTAGCAATACTGTCATTAAGATCGAAATTTGGACTTGATGAAATCATGAAGCAAAAGTGTGAGTGCAACACATACAATAGAGAAACATACAATCCTTTAAGCTCTCAGGTAAACTTATGTTACCATGCCTACTCCACAGAACACAGATTAGAAAGCTATGTTCCAATTTCCATAGCAATTCTTTAGAATAGGCAACCTGATGAAGAAAAGCTATATTGGACCAAAAGCTCTACAAATGTATTGTGTGTGTGTTTTCAAAAAGATTTTCCCTTGCCTTTTGAAATTAAAAAAAAATGGAGGGAGAGCTGGGAGTTAGCAAGACTGTCAATAGAAACTGACTTCAAAATCATCCCTACTTTGTGAAAGAAAGACAGTGAAGAAAGACAGGGACAAAAATCAACCCAATTGAAATGTAGTGCTGAAGCTGAGCCATACAGATACCACAGATAGTCAGAAAGGCTGAGTCTGCTGTCTCGTATATACTACAGTATACCATTGCTTATATTGAAATAAGAAACAACTGTTGATCCAGTCAGCTTTCATGAAATAAAAATCAACTTTGCCAAGTGTCAGAGTGCCACCTGCAGTCTCAGGGAATGGCTATCCTTTTTTTTCACCATATGAGAAGACAAATAGTAGGGGGTAGGAAGAGGAGGATGGTTGATTTTCGTGTGAGAGGAAAACCTGGGCTCCCATTACTATTGTATTTCAAAGCCCTTGTTTTTCACTTGATACCAAAATGCTTTTTGCCGGTTTCCTGCCTGCCTGCCTGACAAAACTGGGCTTTCCCCCAGCTCTAGATTTCTATATTATCTGATAAGTCAGATTTCTGCAATGAGGTGGCCCAGAAGCAGTTCTGCTCCCTTCGCTTTCCTTGCTTCACGACATCAAAAAACCTGTTCCTTGGTCTCAGTTTTAGCCCTTCAGTCTCAGGGAATAAGATGCTGTCGATCCAACAGCTCTTTAATCAGAACCACACGTTGTTTGCCTGGGGTGTTAAAATATCTTGAGCTAGTTCTGCCCATAGGCTAGTGACTTTGTATGTAGATTGTTAGTTCTTTCTGGACTACTGCATTTTCTTATGATATGACTGCACTGTAGCAGCTAGAAAAGCTTCTCAATGCGAATTTGAACTTTTTTAACAGTGTTTTTTACTGTGGTGCAGCCATAACAGGCATGTGGAGTGAAGAGAAAGTGAAAGCATGCGTGCATGTTTGATGTTTAAGGAATATTGTTTTCTGATTAAATACACCATTGGTTTATAAAGTATTCATCATGGTTTTGTGTAGAAAGCCTTTTGGCATTTCCCTGTGTTATTTCACTGCATTGTAGGAGTTTTATCTGGAAGCACAATTCAGACAACACATAGTCCCTAGGCTGTTACTATCAAAGATGCTTAGAAATTCTAGATCAAAACAGAATACAGTTGTTCAAACTGGATTTTGTGAATTATATCATCTATTAGTAATACATGGTGAAACAATATATGAGTTATATCTTGCAAACTGAAAATCTTTTTGTGCCCTCAAGTCTCTCTTCTCTTAATACTATCCATTTCCTTACATTGTTTAGTCACATCTGTTAAATGTATAATAACCAACATTCCCTCTAATTTTCCAGAGTGCTGCCCAAGGGTTCTGCCCCATGTGCACAGGTTTCTGCCTGCAACTGGAAGCAAACAGACAGAAACACTTGCTCAGCTGTGTGCTCCTGATGCAGCGCTGCATGCCCATGCACTGTGCAACTTATAAGGAACATTGGTCATGAATGCTGCTTTTTCTCCTTTTTTAACTGTTTGCAACATGGCTGCACCAATAAATAATAAATAATAATAAGGTGCTTTTATCTAAATTATGACTATTGGCAGCCCTTTTCAGGGTTTTCCAGATAGAAAATACTCAGAAGTGGCGTACCATTCCCTTTTGCTGGGGGCCACTTGGGACTGTGCACCTTGCCCAAGGCCACACGGACTGGGTCTATAGGCAGGCGGCAAAGTGTGGCATCAAATACCCAACCTCTGGCTTCACAGCAAAATACCTATAACACTGTGCTAATGAAACAGCTTAGGCTTAGGTAAATATGTCCTCTGTTTTACTAACATTGAAAGACTTAATACATCTACACACCAAATGAACATCCACTCTTCCACTATCTTTCTGCCCCCCCCCCCGATTAAAAGCAAGGAAAAGGTTTTTAAGAACATCTATGAATGCTGAAGAAATAGCAGAGAATGGCAGGACTACAATGTGGAAAGAAAGAACCATCAGAGACAAATAATTGTCCAGGCTGGAGAGTTAATCTTTAGCAGTTTTTCTGCCTTTCTTGCACGGAAGGAAGTGTTTCGTTCTATACTGATTTGTTTTTTAAAGAAAGAATGGAAAGAAACAGGAAGACTGTTTTTCATTGCTCTTCCCACATCCTGTTCATATGAATCATAAGCATGCAAAAGAGAACAATATGAGAGATTTTAATGGACAACCCTTCCACACCAAGAATTAACAAAAATAAGAAATGTACAGAAACATACAAATTAGTAGTGAAAAAAAGGAAGTGGTATTCATCTAATGCCCTTGTCAGAATTAGCTGCCACTGTGAATGATAGTTCTGGTCGGAAGTCATCAGTATCTCTGCATTTTTAAAAGTTTATAATAAGAGGTTTGCAAGCATGGTTTTAATGCACAGGAAACAAACATTTTATTTTGTGCATATGTAGAAACAATTAGAGTTAAATCAGGTCCAAGGGTCATCAGATTCAAGTTGCGAGCTGGTATTTGTTGTATAGATTAGTTCTTGGGCACTTCACTCTCTCTCACACATACACTCTTTATACCATATTAATGTTTCTGGTCTTTAAATCAGTCCACCCGTACTATGCTTTTCTTGCATTCTTTTTTTTCTATATCACTTCCTATGCTTCGGTGCTTACAGAATTTTCTGTTGGGGGGGAACATCATATGCTTTTCTTGCATTCTTTTTTTTCTATACCACTTCCTATGCTTCGGTGCTTACAGTATTTTCTGTTGGGGGGGGAACATCATTGTGAACGGGTTCAGTTTCAAATTTTGACAACTCGTTTTGCACAGGAAATATCACAGGAGACGTTTTCTTAACTTTCACAACTTCATCTTTATTGTTTACAGGCTGATCAATGTTATTCATAATCGGATCAAAAAGGCTTAACTCAGGCAACATGCCGTAACTATCCAACACAAATTCCCATCCCCCGTCCATTGAACTCACAGGGATGCTGGGCCAAACCTCTCCATGTCAGTGGGCTTCCAGAGGGGAGTGCTCCATACTGCACAGATGATGCCACAGCATGGATGTTGGGCCCAGTCTCCTTCGGGGAGAGGTGTATTATGTCAGGAGTCTGGTCGAATCACCTGCTTTCCTCTGCCCTTATTCTTGGGAAAGACTGTGACTGATCATTCTAATGTCTCATATTTCACCTGGCCTTCTCCCTTAGAAGTGGGGTCCAGTAGCAACCTGCCTAACTTTAGATTCGGGACATCTCTTAACAACTCCTGCATCTTTACTCTCTTGTATTCCCTTAACATCTCCAGCTCTCTCTTCCATTTCCACAATTCTAGCTCCACCTCGAACCACCGCTCTCCTTGATTACTTATACCCTTTTCCCAGACTGACAGCTCCTGCTCCTCCCCTTTCTTGCTCCCATGCTCCTCTACCAAGCATACTTCGAATTTCCCGCATTGCTCTGTTTTCCCTCCTTCTGAAGTTAAGTTCTCCCTTAGGTCCACCTGCTCTTTAGCACTCTCTGGTTTTCCCCCACCCTCCTTTCCTTGTTCCTCATTTCCCCCCACCCTCCTTTCCTTCTTCCTCATGGGATGGCACACTCTCTCCTGAACCTCCTCCACAATCATAAAAGTGAAGATTTGTCTATTTTAGGTCTTGATTCTACTAACATTAAGAAATGTTATTGTATCACATTCTGATTTAAAAAAAAGATTTAAAAGAAGATATCTCCATGATGTTAACAGAAACAAAGATTATTTTGCCCATGTGGTTAGTTTTCATACATTATTTCAATGATATTGGCAGTTGAGATCTGACATTCAGTTTCCAGGCATGTGCACAAGCAAAGGACTATAATTTTAATGCGGAGGGTTGGGTGCTAGACCTGAACGTTGTAAAATAGGGTAAGCTTCAGATTTTGGGAGAAGGCACTTTTGCTGTGAAGCAAAAACTTGGTGCTGTTAATTATTTAATTGAGAGGTCTGAAAGTGTCAGTAGTTTAAAATCATATGTGACCAGAGATGAGATAGTTCCTGCATGTGTTACTTGAAAGTACTGTAAAGGAAAAGTTTAACAGATAGGAATTGTTTAAATTTTATGTTGGAAGCTGCCTAGGGTGGTCCATTGGTCCAGATAGGTGGGGTACAAATCAAGTAAGTAAGTAAGTAAGTAAGTAAGTAAGTAAGTAAGTAAGTAAGTAAGTAAGTAAGTAAGTAAGTAAGTAAGTAAGTAAGTAAGTAAGTAAGTAAGTAAGTAAGTAAGTAAGTAAGTAAGTAAGTAAGTAAGTAAGTAAGTAAGTAAATAAATAAACAAACAAACAAACAAACAAACAAACAAACAAACAAACAAAGGGAATGTGGTGATCCCTCATTCTGGAAGCATTCTGATATGTGAATTATGATGTAGTTTGCAAAATTACTGTTCAAATTTTTGATGGTCTGTACTCTTAGACTTTGTCATGTTATTTTTCTATAAATAAGCTTTTGAGAAATGTTGCAGCCTGAAGCTTTAAATGAGAAAGTGGCTCCATAATGAACCATAAAGGCATCACAGAGCTGGGACCAGAGGAAGAATGGATTAGAAGAGCTGAGGGAGAAAGGGAGGGAGGGGGTTGTGGGCTAGAATGTGACTTGTATCACATTGAATATGAATGGTCAACTCCTAAATTGATCTGCAGCCACTATGTGAGTGCTAATTGCAATTTTAAATGTGATACAGGCTGCAAACCAAATCACAGCAAAGCTGAATTGAAACAAAGGGTGTACAGTGATGCCTCGCAAGACTAAAATAATTCATTCCGTGAGTCATTTTGTATTGCGAAAATTTCATCTTGCGAAGCACGGTTTCCCATAGGAATGCATTGAAATTTAATTAATGCATTCCTATTCATCTTGCGAAGCACGGCCATAGAAAAATTTGTCTCACGAGTCACCAAAAAAAATCACAAAACGCTTTCGTCTTGCGAGTTTTTCATTTCGTGAGGCATTCGTCTAGCAAGGCATCACTATAGTTTAACCTTTACCCAGGAGGGCGCAGTAATTTTAGTTATCCTCCATGTCTTCCTCATGTGGCATGCATTTCCTTTCTGTACTCATACAGTGTGATATAATACAATAGTTGCATTTGGCTTCAGTGATATTGTTGTGATTCAAAATCTGATTGCCTATTCAGTTTTATGTCATCATCACATTCATAATGTGATCTCTGTTTGATGACATTATGCCTGGGGAAAGGGTAATGTCTCTCTCAAGCACGGACATCTGCACATGTGTCACCAGCATCAACTCAACTCTCTTTTTCCTTTCTCAGTCTATGACTTCTCCTTACACCCCTTTATTGTTTATTTATGTTGTGTCCAGTTCCTACAAAACTGCTAGCAATAAAGTATGTTGAATAGTATCAGCACTAGATACAGCAAGATTCTAAAACTCAGTTTTTAATAGGGACTTCTGTCTTTTTGATTAATTTGAATTGTATGAACCATTTCCCAATAAATTGCTGCAGCGCCATTAAGTAATACAAAATGGAACTCTGAACTTTTGTGTGGCAGTGTGAAATTGCCATCGTCTTTACATCTATTCTTGCTTTGATACTTGGATCTACATTTCACAGTCTTTCTTTGATCTGGCTTTTAATCACTGTTTTTCCTCCATACCTTTCATGTATACTTGTTGAAGCATTTCAGAATGAATCCAGCTGAACAGGTGTTTTTGCCACTAGTGAAAGAGTAACATAAATAGTGAGAGATATAATAGTTAATTGGCCTTGCTGATGCATTGTATTTCTGATAAATTTAATATGGAAACATAGTATCAGGACACAGCTCCAGAGCACAGTTCAACTTAGATGTATTAAATAAAATATTTCTTTTACTAGTTTAAGTTAACAGTTTTCTTTCTATTGTGCTTTAGGATGGGACAGAAGTTAGCTGGGTTTGTATTTTCTTACAGTTTTCATTTCTCCAAGATGAACAAGAAGAAGGGTGTATGTTGCCGTGAAATCCCAACATTAATAATAATAATAATAATAATCATCATCATCATCATCATCATCATCATCATCATCTTAGAACTGCAGAGCTGGAAAAGATCCTATGGATCATCAAGTCATATTAAAGTGGTTGTGGGAACTGCTTTGGGTCCCTTGTTGGGAGTAATGCAGCATATAAATAAAACTAATAAATAAATAAATATTTATCACCACTCACGGCTGGAAACAGACTTCTAATCTCTCATTACTGCCCCCTACTGTTTCTACTCACAGCTACTCTATGCATTTCACTGATCATCATGTTTTTTAGCATCAGCAAAAACCGGAATAGAAGTATTGTATCATCTTTTTCAGTATGAGCTGTTGTGATTTGGACTTTGCTTCTTCAGATAATTCTTGTTGCAAAATATAGACTAAATGCTATCACTCTAAACACTTCTTAGTACATTAACCCTAAACAGCAACCTATTCCCAGACACAGAAAATATAAGTGTTTTCTGGTATATTAAATTGAAGTATAAGGTTTATATCGAATGATATTATCCTTCCAAAGAATGCCTGTCAAGCACAAATGTAGTGATATGTATTGTATCTTTACATTCTTTTCCCCATCAAAAATCAGAAGAGTTATTTTGAAAGCATTCTTTTCATGGGCCACGAAATCTGACTCAAATTTGGGACTCACTTAGAACACAGGTCAGTTTTATACTGCTATCCTCAGCCTAGCACTATGATTTTCAGTTAGTGCAATCATTCATGAGATGGCACTTTTAAACTGCCACTTGCTGATTAATGCTGCTGAGATGTCAGCGTTCAGCCTGTACCTTTATGAATATTCTTTTGTCTCCAAAGGAAGCCAAGGACATCTAAGTTTTCTATGCTTGGTGTTTTTTTTTTAAATAATGATATACTCTGTTGGGTTACTTTTTGATGAAAGAAGATTAGGAGACAAAAAATGAGCCTACTCTTGTCACCTCCTGAATTATCTGGTTTAGCTAAGATCAAGTCCTTTAGAATTCTTTGTTAAGATCAGTTCTATTTCTGGCAGCCATATTAATCTGTTTTAAGAAAAATTGGAAAGATTCCTGTGGCCCCTTGAAGATAAACATAATTATGATGGTATACATTTTCAAGTGTTCTCAGATGGATGGATCAGTCTGTTTCCAGCTCATGTCACATTTGCATGTACTGCATTCTGTTGGATTGAATCATGTCTGCATAAATGTGCTGGGTTTTCCACCCAAACAATGAGGATTATGGAATTCAGTGGTGCAATCATTCATACGGTTCCCATTCTGACTGGTTGCACAATGTGCTTGCAGAAATCTTTCATGAATAGCACTTCTTCCTTGAGGTGATGAGCATTGCCACTTGCTTTACATTGAATCATACAAGCATAGTTACTCAACAGATTTTAGCCATTATGTATGTCTGATTTTTTACAAGGTACAAAAATGCAGTCCACATTGAATTCTTTCTGTTTGCATATTGTTTTCACACAGCATTCCCTAAAATATGCACTTTAATGTATATTGGGTAGAGATGGACATGAAACGCTGGCACAGCAGTTTGTGTCAGTTTGTTTTTCAGTCAAACAGGTGTTCAGTGCTTCCTAGTCTTGCCTACTCTGGGGAGTGGGCAGTGCCCAGGGGAGGCAGGGAAGGGAAGCTGGAATACTGCCTTAGAGTGAGTACCTGCTGGAGGAGGTGGGACTGGGAAGCATCAAACACCTGTTGAAATGAAAAATGAACAGTATGAATCACCAAACCAGCAGTTCATACCCATCTCTAATATTGAGCATCACAATGTTCAGAGAAGTGTATGGTTCAAAGAACACCTGCGTTCTGATTCAAGTTAGCCATGGAAATGCAAATGAGTATGCTTTGCTTAAAAATGTGGATCCAGTTTTGATCTGT